AAGCACAAGAGAAGGCCGTGACTTGATGCGGAGCGTCAACGTGTATCCCATCATCCGCGAAACACATCTACGCGTGGATGATGAGGATGTCCAGGAGGCTTGCGACCGGTTGGTGCAGGTGCTGATGATGGACGAGGAGCCAGATACCAAGAAAATAGAATGCGGCGTAGAAGGAGCGGAAGAGGATGATAAGGATGATCAAATAGTGGAAGTCTAAATAACGATAGATACTGAAAGAAAAAAAGACACAAATCTCATCAAATGATCTGTCGGGTAGATCGATCGACTATTGCCCACGGATATGAAAATGCGAATCACTTGGTTTTGTAACACTTCAGCCCTGGTGTGTTTGTTGACCCGTGACTGAGGAGACAACTTTGCCAAACAAAGCGGTAAATGGCATCATGACGTATGCCGGGCATGTCATATTCGGCAGAATCAACATCCTGTAGGCAACGTGGCCGAGCGGTCAAAGGCGATTGACCTGAATAATATTCACTTGAAACCAATTCTCTTCGGAGGCGCATGTTCAAATCATGCCGTTGTCGAAAATATACCTCAATCGTAAGGTTGAGTTCTCCTTTTTGCAGTCGGGAGTGTGACTCCGCTCGGTATCCACAATGCCTACGGGCAATCGGCTTCGGTAAAGAACCTAAGTTAGGATTTGGAACCCCTCCTTGAGAGAAATACTTGTGACCGGTGAAACCCTTTTCGGGCTTTCAGTCCTTTTGTAGGTCAAAACTGCAGAAGCCAGTTGCAGAAGCTCGTGGCTGCGTTCAAGAACGCGGTTGGCTAGAGTTTGGACAATGCCGTGTACCCATGGAAAGCAGGAAGGCAGGTACGCCGTAAGTGCCTGACGGAAATAAACCTGGAAGCCCTGCCGATGGAGCCGAGAAAGTGGGCAGCAGCCAATCATAGAGTGAATATTAATCACATTGGCATTGCCTTGCACAACGCCTGCGCAGTTGAGAAATGAGAGGGAGACATCCAAGATGGACCACAAACCGACAGCGGAATTGCGAAGTGCTCGCTACTCCGGAATCACTTGGCGACGTGACGTTGATGGACGTCAACATCGCCAAGGAGTGCCAAGAGATAGCCAAGAATATGGATGCCGTCGCTGGGTTTTGGCGTTGGAATGGATTTCCCAAAACCGCAACCCCTCACACGACACCGGTAGAATATTCTTTTTATTACAATTGTTTGCCGCGACAGCGAGCCAAGAAGCCAACTTTCAGCAAGTGCTGAAGATGCTCGCGTGCTGTATATCCACAATGGGAGCTGGGCGAACTTGGCGATGCCCCAAAGCCCAATCGATCCCACACGTTGTGATGGGCGAGGCTTGGAAGGCTCCAAAGGGGGGGAGACTCAATGAGAAGGCGGAAGAAAACGACCAAATTGGAACGGGGCGAACCACAACCCAGGAACAAAAACGTGTGCCGTCCGGTGGCATGCGATTCGTGGGGAAGCTCCCTGACAGACGCGGCTCAACAACCTCCCATGGTGGCAAGGGTTCCTGGCCCGAGGTCTGCACACTGCTACACGAGATGCGACGAACACCGCGGAGCGCCCGCAACGGATAGGTGGTTTAGGTCCTGGATACGGGATACATGCCTGATACCTCAGCTGTTCACAAACAAGGCGCCTGTCCGTATGTCCTCCTCGCCGGCGAACGCGGTCTCTTTCCGAGTACAGAGCGCGTATCCGCCAGCCAGAACGCAACAGGGCTATCGGTATAAGACCCCAAAAACTTCACCGAGGCCATGGGTCACTCATCTGTTTATGGCTCTCGATACAAGGTTGAAGGCTGGGGGTAGCGGGCCTTCCAAGGCGTGGGTCGCATCCAGGCCCAAGTTCCCCTCGAGGCTCCGCAGATGCCGCCCATAACCTGTGGATCTGAGCCCGTCTGGACACCAACACCTTGTGAGTTACGGGCGACCACAATGCAATTGAAGTCACCCGAGTACAAGGACCCCCGCGGTCCACTGGCTATGCGTCCTGCATGCTCCTCCTGTTGCTCCATCTCGAGAACTGGGCTGTTGGAGCTGAGCTTGCGATTCAGACCCTTCCGGGGACATGGTGGAGGGCAGCTCGGCGTCAGGTCGGGGTTGCTCATGACTGCCAGCCCCCAAGCCATCAGTCAATGGGATACATAATCCCCCAGGACTGCTCGCTATGTGACTCTTTGCATCTCTCAAGGCCACAAGCTACCACAACTCTCTCTCCTCCTCCTCCTCTTACACACTCCAGCCCCTGGCATATATTTCCCAGCTTGGCCCGAAACCACTCCGCTGCTCACCCGTTGAGCAACAGCAACCATGGCTGCCGCTCAGAAGACCGCAGGCGGAAACAGTGCCTACCACAACACCCACAATGACTTCCTACATATCGCAGACCCCAATGAGCGGAGGCGACTTGCCCTCGCTGAGATCGACAAGGCCCCTTTTGGCTGGTACCATGTCCGCGCCATCACGGTTGCCGGCATTGGTTTCTTTACCGACTCTTACGACATCTTTACCGCCTCCCTGCTGACCATTATGTTGGGCATCGTCTATTACCCCGGCGTCGGTAGTATGCCGACAACTTCGGATACGGCTATTAAGCTGGCCACATCAGCCGGTACCGTCATTGGACAGCTCGGGTTCGGTACCCTCGCCGATATTGTTGGCCGGAAGCGCATGTACGGTCTGGAGTTGATCATCATCATCTTTGCCACCTTTGGCCAAGCCATGTCGTCTTCATCTCCCTCAATAAATGTCATCGGGCTTATTATCTTCTGGCGTGTACTTATGGTAACTAAGCCATCTTGTTTATATTCCACCTTAATTCGCAGCAACTCTAACACAGTGGGACAATAGGGCATAGGCATTGGAGGCGATTACCCATTGAGCAGTATCATCACTTCCGAGTTTGCGACAACCAGATGGAGAGGTGCCATGATGGGTGCTGTTTTTGCTATGCAGGGCTTTGGCCAGCTTGCGGCTGCCTTCGTCATGCTCTTCGTCACTCTCGGATTCAAAGACTCCCTCATCACCTCGACCAGCCCATCCAATTGTGTCGGAGGATGTGCCGAAGCCGTCGATAAGATGTGGCGAATACTGATCGGATTCGGCGCTGTTCCAGGTTGCATTGCTCTTTACTACCGCCTTACCATCCCCGAGACGCCGCGTTACACCTTTGATGTTGAGATGGACGTTGAAAAGGCTGGGGATGATGTCAAGGCTTACATGGAGGGCAAGGCTGAAGGTACCCCCGACGAGATCAGCCGCATTACAACCAAGAAACAGGCCATCGAGCAGTTGAAGGTGCCGAAGGCTAGCTGGCGTGACTTTTTCCATCATTACGCCATCCCAAAAAATGCCAAGCTCCTTGCTGGGTACGTTTCCACACCCCCCCCCTTCCAACCACCACAGCCCCCGAATCCAAAATATCACACAACACAACAACTAACCAAAACAAACAGAACTATGCTTTCATGGTGCTTCCTTGACATAGCCTTCTACGGCCTCTCCTTGAATAACGCCACCATCCTCAACGCTATCGGCTACTCTACCGCAAACGCCCACAATACTTACCAGATCCTTTTTAATACCGCCGTCGGTAATCTGATTATCGTCCTTGCCGGTGCCGTCCCAGGCTACTGGATGACCGTCTTCACTGTCGACACGGTCGGCCGCAAGCCGATCCAGTTCATGGGCTTCACCATCCTGACCATCCTCTTCGCCGTCATGGGGTTCGCCTACTTCAAGCTGTCGCCCAACGCGCTGCTGGCCATCTACGTGCTCGCCCAGTTCTTCTTCAACTTCGGCCCCAACTCGACCACCTTCATCGTCCCCGGCGAGTGCTTCCCGACGCGGTACCGGTCCACCTCGCACGGCCTCTCGGCCGCCGCCGGCAAAATCGGCTCCATCATCGGCCAGGGCGCCATCGCGCCCCTGCGCACGCGGGGCGCCGTCCCCGACGGGAATCCCAACCCTTGGATCAACCACGTGATTGAGATCTACGCACTCTTCATGTTGCTCGGCATTGGCTCGACCGCGCTGATTGTCGAGACCAAGAGGAAGACGCTCGAGGAGCTGTCGGGTGACGATGACTACACCACGCAGCCGCACGTGGGTGAGGCCGTGACCGGAGGGAGCGGGAACGAGTCCGCCAGTGGGCAGGATGGGGTTGTCGGCGAGAATAAAAAGGTTGCTGGAGATCAGGTTGTTTAATGAGAAAGCATGCGGGCGCGCTGCTGGGGTATATTGGAGTTGGGAAGGTTAGCGGGATATCTCTAGGATTTAACGAATACCTAACTTGGTGCCTTTGTGGGCACAGTTTAAGATGGAATTTATGCCTCTATTTAAAATATGACCCCCTCAGGCTTTTAAGTTGACCGTCGTCGATTTGCGTGTCTTTACACAAGCCCCTTCCATACATTTGGGTTCTCACTTGGCTTGTACGCCCTACACCCAAATAGGAAAGAAATCTGCTGTTTGCTGTGATGCAAAAGCCCGCTACGGCATTTTTGCAGCCAGGGGGCACGTATTTTTGTTTTGGTCATTTTTGTCTTGTCAAACCTACACTTCTGCCACGGTGAACCTGCACACCCCTCTGCTTCTGGTCCCAAAATAATATTTGAAGCCGAATAGTAGCTTTTTTGCATCGGAAAGACACAACTAGCACCTGGAACGGCCTTTCTGGCAACCCAAAAGCTATCGTATTTGACAGGTCTGCTCTAAAGTATATAGAACACTGGATAAAAACAAACGAGGGCTTTGGAGTCGCATATTCGCAAACAAAAACGGACTGGCGGCATAGCAATAATGGCGGAAAGGGGCAATTGAAGCGCTAGAGGGAGGAGTTGTGCAATGAATACATGTCACTTGAAAATCACAACCCTTCTCGTCCCTTTATCAATTATCAAAACGGTAACCAGGGACACCTTACAAAAATGCAATAGCACCGAGTTTGCCCTGGTAGAGGGCAAAGGGTATCGGCAAAAAAGATGCTTGTATCGACAACGGCATGATTTGAACATGCGCCTCCGAAGAGAATTGATTTCAAGTGAATACTTATTCGAGTCAATCGCCTTAGACCGCTCGGCCACGTTGCCTGATGATGAAAGTTGATTTCCTAAGCCACTAGAGGACCAGCCGGCACGCATTTGCCAGCGGTTTGGTGATCCGCCATCAAACAACCGCTTCAACGACATCCTTCTATACGACCCCGAATGCCTTTTTACGCTCAGTTCTCATGGTGTTAGCACGGCTCGAAACGGCTTTGCTTATTGGACGCGAGGAGCCATGTGCTGTATACCTACCTACCTACATATAAACAAGACATGCCATAAGTAATGTCTAAACCGGCCGAAAAGTTCGGCACATACATTTTAGCAAGTTGGCCATTTTTAGATAAAGGTCTCTTCTCGTACGTCTACGAAACATCAAACTCCAGTCTGAAAACAAAACCTCCCTGGGTATCCCCTCGCCGCCCATGCATGTTATGTATGCTGAGCACGTATGAATGCTGAAACTGAACCATGCCAACCACAACCATCCCTTTCCTCCCCCCTCACCAATTGTCAGACTCCCATTTACAAATTGATGATATCCACCTCCGAGAAATCTGGTGGGTTCCGCCCATACACAACGCGCACCTTGCTGTCCAAGGCTGTGCCCTCGTTGCTGATCCAGATGTGCTCGCTGAAGTCTTTGGTCTTGAGGATCTCGTCGTCACTCACACCAAGGTCGTCGCGTGGGATCCATACTGTTGGTCGGCGAGCACGCATCGCATAGTGCTGGAACGCCTTACGTACCAACGCGTCACGTTCCTCAGGCGTCAAGTCCTCGATTTCGTCATGATATCCACCGTACAGCGCGTCTCCAATCGCGCGCTGTGCCTCCAGATCTTTTTGCCGTCGCTGTTTGCGGTACAAGGTCGCAGTCCGCAGATTGTCTTCAGCCTTACCAAAGGTTGCAGCTCGAACTTTCTTGCCCCCGCGCGCCGCCCAGTTACCTGCATGTACGATGCCCCTGACCGGGTTCAGCCGACCAAGTCGCGATCCGGTTTCTCCATTGCCGCGGCGCATCCGGTGCAGCTCTATGTCGCCCTTAGCAGTTCCGTCTTGGGTACTGTTAAGCGCCGTCAACTCGTCGTCGTCTGGGATGATCCCGAGCCGTCGGTCTTGAGCACGCTGGAATGCCTCGTCACGGAGGACTGCCTCGTCCTCGAAGGTGATGGGAAGGTAGCGAAGAAGAGGCCCGAAAGCTGAGTTGAGCAGAAACTGGTACAATGCCGTCAAAATGAAGGCGACAATCATGATTATAGCTTGCGGGAAGCAGACGTTGGCCCCTTCCCCGTCCTCGGCGAGGAAAAAGAGGCCAATGAGACACAGCTCCATGACGTAAAGCCCAGTAAATGTCTGGTTGATAGCGCGTGGGTATAGCACACCGCCGGTGTCTGACCGGAACCGCGTGACGTACAGCATATTGTAACGGTTCGCGACCCAGAGCAAGCTGAATGTGATGATAGCGAAGATAGAGATTAAGGGGGCGACAATGGAATAAATCAGCGCAATGCATGCGAAGTTGGTGTACACTGGGAAGAAAGAACCCCAGGTCACGTTAGGGAGCTGGGTATTGCGTTGCCATTTTGCTCGCGCCGTGTTGTCCATTATTCTGGCGAGAATGTACCAGACGAACAAAGTCCCAATTTGGAGCAATGTTCCCGAGCTCGTTGACAGGGCTTGTAGTATCATGTAGGTAAAGAAATAATTGGCGGCCTTGGGCAGGTTTACGGCCAAGAGGTTGGGAGTGCTGGTGATGTCGTTAGACAGATTCGCAATCGTCTGAATCGTGCCGGTGGCGATGGAGACGACCAGAAAGACCTGTACGAATAGGAATATGAAGTAGTAGACCTGAACGACTTCTGATTTCTGGGAGCCTGTTTTAGATCCCTGGAAACCTGCTAGGAAGTCAAGGATAAGAGGGACAAGTGCCAGCAAGATGGCCAGAACGATAGCCGGTAAAACACCAGCGACAGCCTTGACTGCGCTGTGGACTGTAGCGTTCGTCTCGAGGAAGCTGAGCCATTCATACTTTTTGATCAGGTCACCAATCTGCGCCAGCGAAGCTGTCCAAGCAACCGGAAAAGCCCAGAGAATGATCATGCCGACAACAAAGGCAAAAACAATTGCACACCGCGCCCACTCGTCCCACCACTTGATAGCCATGTTGTCCCAGATGACATCGTTGGGCGAAATCTCGACCATTCGGGGTGCCATGTGCTTGGGTACATGGTGCGTGACAGATTGGCAGGCCATATGGGCCGAGACTTGATTATTGAACTGGATGAAAGCCGAGTTCATGATGGGGTAACGCTCTGGCTGCTGCTGGTCTTCTTCAATTTCAAGATTGAGCCTAGCCAGTTCGGCACGGCACCAGTAAATAGTGTCAACCTTTTTGTTGATTCCTGGGATGGCGGGAAGGAAAGAAGGCGTCCAGCCGAAAATGGGCAGGCGGTGATGGGGGCGGTCCTCGGGCTTCAACCAGTTTTCCCATTCAGCATGTTCCTCCTTTTGTTGGTCATAGTCGAGGCTGTAAGCTGGTGGGTACTCTATTTTCTCGTCCTCATCACCGACAAAAGGGAGCACAGACTTGATCTTCTGCAGGAATGGCTTTTTCTCCTTATTGTTCCAGGGATAATCGTCGTCCTCGGTACCCTGGGGAATAGGGGAGGCGTAGCTTCCAGTGGGAGGCTTCCAAAACTGGTACCACCTCGTCTTTTCGGTAACCAGCATCTCGTCCAAGTTACTAGCTTTGCGCGTGGTATTGCCATAGCTTCTCGGGTCTTGTGTGTTCTCTTTCTTGTATTCCGAATACTGTGAAGCGGCTGATGGGGTGTGTGCGTGGTGGCTTTGTGGGCTGTGTAACGGTGTTTCGGATGCGAACGAAGTCTTTGGCTTTTCAGAATCATCAAGCATCTGGACTCTGCGGGGGCGGTCTGAGCTTTGCACAGGAGGTGCAGGAGAGGACTGATTGTTATGATTGATAAAATCAAAACCACCAGTTCTTTCCAACTCCTCGTCAACCCCTTTGGTGAGATTCTTGGCACCACCCCCGACAGCAGCCACTCCCTTCTTAAAACCAATTCCCAGCCCTTGTCCTATTTTGAGGATACCCCCTCCTACCTTGGCACTGACGCCAGGGCCAGGGCCGCCAACCTCTTCAGTTTCCCCCTGTTGAACGTCAGTTAGATCGGTCTCGTCAAACCTATCTTCGACCTCGTCAACAGCCGCCCCGACGTCGTGGGGAACTTCTTCATGATGGCCCACGCTCAAGCCTCCAGGGCCTTCCGCGCGTCTCAGAGCTTCTTCATCCTCGTGCTTCTCACGTTCTGCCTTCTCAGTCTTGCTCTCTGCCTTCTTTCTTTCAGCGGCTCGCCTCGCCTTATCATCGACAGCCTTTTGTTTGAGTTGCCTCCTCTTCGCCTCGCGGATGAGATCACTTTCGGCAGACTCCAGTTGCTGGTGAATGGCGTCACGTTTGTGGATCTTGTCGAGTAGTTTGGTGAAGTCCCGCGTCAGCCAGACATTTCTAATGCCTCCGGGAAAAACGTCAAACAGTCCCCTCAAAGCTTCCTCGCTGAGCCACTTTTCAGGTATCGAGCTGACAAGTACGGTGTTGGCCGATGCGCGCAATCGGTGCTCGGCACTCGTCAAGTAATCTTGGCGAACCTTGACGTAGACACGCAGCTCGGCGAAAAAGACACCGCAGACCCAGACAATGACGAGAAGGGCGAGAATGAGATGGGCCCAGCGGCGGTTTTGATACTTTGGGGCAATATTCCCCCACGCTAAGGTGTCTAACCCCGAAGGAACCTTGGACTCGACCTCGTCGGTTGTGGTGTTGACGAAGGAGCGCCCCAAACCGCCAACGTAGTTGAGAGGAACTAATATGGGGATGACGACGAAGGCGATGGGGACGAATATGACCAGTAGGGTTTGTAGATACCGCAAGAAGAAGTACGCATCGAGCCCGCATTTCTTAATTATCTCCCGGTCTTCGAACTTCATAAGAGCGAAAACCAGGTTCCAGGGGCTCGCGGGGGGCGGATCTGTCCGTTCACGTTCGGGCACTAGGTAGGTTTTGGGTTTGCTGTAAACAAGTATGTTAGCACCACATCGATCGACATGTATCTAGGTCAGGAACGAACAATATTCTCGCGAGCTTGTTCCGCAGAAGCAGGAAGAAGCCCATCTGGACGCCAAAGACAATCAACGAAGCCGCCAAGGCGGTGACGAAGGCCACCAGACTAATACCCGTGGATCCTTGGCCGGATCCAGCGCCATCTACGACCGTACTCGAGGCAGCTGCTGCGCTGCTACTCGACGTCGCCGGCGACGTCGATGCTGTGGTTGTACTCATCGTGTATGTGTAGGTGATAATCTAACGCGGCGTGCGCGAATAAATCGGCATATGATGAGGGGAACGCGAAGCTCCGGGGAGCAATCGCTCGAGAAGAAATGAAATTATTAGGTTGGACAAGTCCTCCAGCGAACAATGGGGGGGGGGAGGCGGGGGATCGTCTTGGGTTTCGATCGACGTCAGTGTGCCTGGTCCAGGGCAAGAAAGACGGTCAATGAGCTAGTGACTTGGCCAAGGTAGGGACGTAGAGACAACAAAGATAATGCAGGTGTACCTTTAGGAACAATGGAAGAGAAAAGCGCGCATTGCCTCGAAGCCAACTGTACTTCAAGCAAGCCTTATCAAAAACTTGGAAAATTGGCCATTCTCTTTCCAACGGTCTGGGCGGGAAGCTGATGGGAACCTCTTTTTACCTGGTTCAGTGGCTACGCAACCTGGACGAGAGTTTCGTCTGAAACGGGGGAAGCGAGCATGTGCACCCTCCATTGGTTGCGTCATGGCGTCCCATTGACGTCTGCGGCTCCGATTCCCGGGGTAGCACCGCCGGTGAGCCAATGGCAGTCTGCCACTCCGCCCTGAGGGAGATCGCATCGGTCCAGGCCGGGCCTGGAATCTGGCCACAGGCGCCTGCTGCAACGCACGCTTTCTTCTCGCAAAGTCCCAGGTCACTTCTCTGCCAAACAATCCA